GCAAGTTGATCTTTGCTTACAGAGTGGCATACCTGGGACAGATGAGACCCTGACAAAACCACAAATGCTCACAATGTCTAGTGCACATGAGAATGACTGAAGCAACAGCACCTCTGAATATAAAGCCAGCCTGCACTACACACAGAGTTGTAGTACAGCCAGAGTTACAGGGCAAGACTCTGTGTGAATACTATAAGCAAACAAGGAAAGGAGTTTATGGCAATGCTGTTCGAACTAACCAAAGTGGATAAAACCAAACCTCAGAAAATAAAGTGGCAGTGTGCATGTGACATCTTAACACAACTGTCAGGGAAGGAAATCCAATTTGTATCTTGGATGTTAGACAGAATGTGTCCCTTAGCATACTACTGTGAATCTGCTAATATCAAGGTGGGTGATTCACGGTCTCATGATTGTTTGCTTGATGATCATTGCATGTATCTATTCCAGTCATTTGCAATTTTATTTTATGTCTGTATTTGGGTTTGCTGTTTATGTCTTCTTCAGGGTTTAATGTTTCTTTTTGGGCATGCAGTTTAAGACAGAGCGGCTGATCTGCCTGGTAGTAGTTTATGTACAAGAAGAGACACACAGAGAGACAGAGTTGGAGGCAGGGAAAGACCAGAGAGAGAGAGGAGTGAGGGATGGAGGGATGGAGGGATAGAGGGATGGTAGGAGGGTACTCACTCCATATTCCAGTGCATGGAGATCAGGAGAACAGTATAGTTGCATTACTGTGATCAGAATGCCAAGGCAGATCTCCAGCCCAGGCTGGGCAGAGTCTCCAGAGAAGTCCTGCTCAGCTCTGTCTGAGCAGCTCAGCCTGGTCCAGTGGCTGAGGCCAGCACAGGATCCTGGGGAATCTCCTTTGCCAGAATTGTATATGGAGGTTTGGAAAGCATTGGGTTATGGGGTGCTTTTCCCACCTCAGAGTCCAATAAGAGACCACTTTCTACTCAGATTAGGTACAAAAATGTCTTTCCTATAAGCTTAGTGTTGCTCAGAGGACACATTTGAAATGTGTTTCAACTTCGAGGAACACACTAGCAACATGCTGCTGAACACAGATGATGTCCCTGCAAGATCATGATTCTAAGAACCTTCTCTTCTTGGGTTCAAATTTGGAATAAG